GTAGCTTTGTTACTGTCTGGTGGCTTCTGTGATTTCTACTGAAAAGTTGTCCTTAAAAGTATTCAACGTTAGTTAACATATTTTTAAGAGGGGGTGTAAAGAAAGAAAAGAGTGTTTAAATTTATTCACAAAAAACACAAACTACTCTTCTAAGTTATGATATTTGCTTTGTCATTCCACAGGACATCTCAAGTATAAGTGTAACATACCAGACAACACTGAATTTCATTGGTTTTGTGTCCTGAAATAGTTACACAGTAAAGCAGAAGGTCAAAGTGCATCAAGGCCTAACATGGAACTTGTCTGAGCAATCAAGTGAACAAACCCTGACACCCTTCCACAGAAAGACTACTGGCCATCTACTCCAGGAAAAACCCGCCTTTTGGCAGAAAATCTCAAGATACATAACAAATAGGAATTCATGTAGCATCACTGAACAGATCATTTATCATTTACCCTCAAAGTATCAGGAGAAGCTCCTGTCAAACTTAAAAATTCATTGTGAATTTAGGACTCTAGCCCTAAATGTCAGCGATGACCAAAAGTTAGCAATCAAGTAATGACAGAAGTGTCAGGCTGAAGGGAAGCTCCCACATACTACCACTTACCCCACTGGGTTGAGACACACTTGAAAACATCTTATGCATCTGTCCAATCTGACTTCAAACTCTGAGTAGCCTATTCCAACGTTACTTTACAGTTTGAGTCCAGCACAGGACCACAAATATGATTAGGGGATCACAGCATCTTCCATACAAGGCGAGACTGCAAGAGGTGGAACTTCAGCCTGGAGAAAAAAAGACTTAGGGAGATCTTATCAATGTTTACCTGATGAGATGGAATGAAAATGGAGCCAGACTCTTCTTCACAGTGCCCAGTGACAGGACAAGAGGCAATGGGCACAAACCAAAACACATGAAATTCCATCTGAACACAGGAAAACACTTGGTTACTTTGAGGGTGGTCAAACACTGGAAGAGGTTGCTTAAAGAGGTTGCAGAGTCTCCACCTGCAGAGAAATTTAAAACCTGACTGGACATGGTCTTAGGCAACCTGCTTGATCTGACCATGCTTAAGGAGGGAGGTTGGACTAGATGATCTCAAGAGGTTCCTTCTAACCTGAACGATTCTGTGATGTGGTCTCAAGTTTCACTCATGGTTTCACCAGTACAACAGAAGAAAGGCAGGGAGTTAATTCAATTCCTTGACATGTATAGGAGGAAGAATAACAGCTTATGCGGTTTCTGTTATGCCATTTCCCTCCCAACAGAAGCTCACTGCCTTGGTCTCTGGCATCTCCTGATGAGCCCCTCACTAGGTGAAGTAACAGTTCAGCTCTTCCTCATCTACATGGCTCCAGCAAAATTCTCATCTTCCTTCTAACTGCCCACTGTCCTCCATATTTACCACATATTTCCTTATACCTACTTCTGATCCTCCTATTTTGCAAGAAGTTTGCTGGTACTGATCTTTCTTTTGTGTCCATTTCATGCAATGAGAGCTCTGTTCAGCCAAGGCTACATTTGTCCTTCAACAGCACAGTTCACAGCTGCTGTTACATTCAGTTATCATCTTAGCAATGCCAGGCAGATGTCAACTTCCTTGTTTTTTTCCCTGCAAGAGTTAACTTGGGTATAGAAAGTTCAAAGACATTGATTAATTAGTAAATGCTTTTGAAACATCAACTTTAAAAGCAGAAAATTTTGAAATAACATAGGTAGGGGCTGAAATAAACAGGTGAAGTTGAAATGTGCATAATACAAAACAGATGTCAGCTGAGCTTTGAGGACACAGGAGGAAGAGAAAGGCTGCTGACTCCAACTGTGTGGCACAGAATCCCAGCTGCCCAGTGCACACACAGAGCATGGTGTAGTATCACAAACCAGACAAGAGAGCTTAAGTAGCAGGCTGGTCACTGCACCCTAGCTGGTGACCATACCCTGTCGGACCTGTGCTGGCTTGTACAGTGCCATCCTGAGCATTTCCAGGTCCTTAGTACAGTTACTGCATAGCCTGAAAAACTTCCCCACGGATTACAGAGTGTCTGCAAACACAAACCTTCATGACCTCCACAGTTTGCCAGGACTGAGAAACTGTAGAAGTAAAAATGCCCCATCTACAAGAGAGCAAGAGTCAAGTGTCAGCACATGGTTCTCAACAAGGCTAGATGTGTTCTTCCTCATTTCTGAATTTGTACTAAACTAATAAAATTTAAAATAGCTTTCAGTGTGTGATGTCTGGGGGTGTCATGTTCCCATGATGCACTAAAACCACAGCCTAACAGCTGCACTAGAGGCAACAGCATAGCCTGATCAGAGCCAGTTTGAAGGCTCTGGAAAGGTATTTGCCCTCACCATGTCCTGTGTCATATGCTCCACTAGCTCAGGATTCAGCTGTAAGGAAGCTGAATCTCAGTCACTCTTCCATCAGGCTTCATTTTTCCATGTGTGCTGACACTGCTGTTAGAAGTACTGGTGAATGAGTGTGGAGAAAAGTACTTCTCAGAGGAATACACCCAGGCAAGTAATTTCAAATATGGTTATAAGCGTTCTCTAAGTGCTGTAGGAATTGAGGGCTGCCTTAGGAAAAGTTCACAGTCTGCTGTAGAGAATGGGCTTAACTGAGACCTTCTAAGACTTCAAAGCCTTCATCTAAAATTCTAAAAATGAAGTCCTGGGAGAAGAGTGCAGGCTGTGTTTCTCTATAGGAGAGGTCTGCTTCACGAACACTTTAAGTCACAGCTGCAAGCAAACTATAAAGATGCTAATTTTTTACTACCAACCAAGAAGAAAGTTTTCACAGTTTCACCCAAAAAGGGAACTATGTACACCTGGGGTTGTCTTCTCTTCAGAGGAAGCATCAGAACATTTGCATTTGAGGCCATTCACAAACCTTGGTCTGTAGAATCACACTATGGAAGGGGTCACCTAGCAATTTTTTTATCCAGAGGTAGGATCTGATATATTCATCCAAATACTTTTGCCATGAAACCAGCATATCTTAAGTAAGTTCTTCCTTCACAAGTCAGAGTGACAGCAGATGGCTTACCTTGGCAACTACTCTGATGTACACAAAGAAACAGCCTGACATTACTCAACTCTTGCATGCAGCTGACAGCTCACATCATGTTGGGCTCCCATAACAGTAACAGAAGTCCAGAAATTCTGAATCTTTGTGTACCAAACAATTTGGAAAATGCTACAGCAGACTCCACAGCAAAGAGTTTGGGTTTTTTTCTCATTTTTTCTCAGTCAAATATTTTCTAGATATACTGCAGTCAGTTTGAGACCAATGTATGCTGAAGTTCAAGTGAGAAAACAGAAAATAAGCAATTTTTTTTGTTATGTATTAACAACAATAATCCAAAGCACAATCTCCCTTTTAAAACACTATTTACATAAAGCTGAAGCACAGGTTTTTTCAGCACATGCTAACTTTCAGCAGCAATGACACCGCTGCAGAAGGACTCTATGTCCAACTGTGAAAAGTCAGACTGTAGTACCTTACCCCAAAGAAGTTTTGCCATAGGTGTATGGCAGACAGCTCACTAAACATCAAGGCAGACAAGCCATACTTTCCTGGCTGCTCAGACAGAATAGTGCTACCAGCATGACTCACCTCTGCCCTCTCACAGAGTGGGCTCTGAGAAGTGCTGGGAAGATCCAGTACCCAGGACCCACAGGTACAACCCCCAGAGTGCCAAGGGGCAGCCAGCTGTATGCAGAGAGAGCTAGCTCACCTGTGGAGAAGCACTTGTTCAAGGGGAGGAAGAGAGCCAGGTCAGCTTAATACAATCCACTGACTGTATCCAACATCAAAGAGTGGAGGCTGTTCTTTAGTAACAAGGCTCTGCATTCAGTGCACCACTGCCAACAGATATGCTTTCCCAGAATAAAAATCAGACTTTGGGTGCTTCCCATTGACAAACACAGCTTCCCTCTTGAGAGAGAAGCAGTTGATAGAGCAGTTTCTAGCTGAACCATTCCCACGCCTGTCTCCATCCCTTCACCTCAAATTCTCTTTGATTTTTAATGCACTCAAAACAAGCAAGATGGGTGAAAGCCTCTCACTAGTAGGGATCCACCTGGCCATGTGAAACCTCCCACTACAGCAAGTCCCTCTAATGAAGGACAGAGACACTGGCGCTTCCTGATCCACCCGCAGACCAGGAAGCAGGAGTCTCTTCTGCCCCGTGTTGTGCTTTGTGCATTCAGAACGCAGCAAGTCAGGAGACTAGTGAGAGCTGGTACTGGGAAGAGATTTCGGGATCAGCATCCTTTTGTACTCTCAGACATGCTCCAGCTACACCACAACTTACTCCTAATCCAACCTAAAATAACTCTGACAGTCCTCAAGACATGTTAAGTAAAACCATCAACACAGTAATCCAGGGAGATGTTGTTTAAACTTCCATAACTTTGAATATCATATTTAAAAATCAATAAAATATTGGTGCTGTGAGGTTTGCAGGAAAACAGTCACTAAACTTTTACTCTTGCCAGAACGTGTCAGAAAAACTAATTTAATATCTGGTCAGTTTTATTTTTTGGAGTATAAAAGCTCAGCCACTGTTCTCTCTCTTCTTCCAGGCTGAAAGCAAAGGAGCCAGGCTACTTTAGCCCTAGATTATCCATCAGAAAATCAAAATGTTTTAGTGGTGTTTGAAAGGGAGATAAAAACTGTAGTTTATGCAGGGTACAATATTTACAGGCAGAACTTCAAAGATATCCAGTTTTCGATTTGCATTCAAAACCAGGCACCTAAGATAACTCCAAATTCAGAAGTTCTCTATGAGTCACTGGTAATCTCTCATGAATTAGGGACCAATTGATCAGGCATAGAGATACTGGCTTGCAAAACTTCCTAGTTTACAAGGGCTGTGCAATTTGTTTTAGTTTTCTATTTCAGTAAAACATGTGACCAGTGTTAAAATAAGGATAAACAATATCAGGCATCTTCCTCCTCCAACCCCTCACCAAGAAGCACAGCTGCTACCTTACCTTCTGAAATTGCCTTCTTGACAGCTGCAAGGTAAGCATCAGGCTCATCATCATTTGTGAGTTCCTGCCACTGAGACCAATCCTTGAAAAAGGTCACATAGTCATCACAGTCCGTGACACCGCAGAACAGCTTCACTACTTTGCACGGGGGCCATAAAGCTTCCTGAAGGCTCTGCAGGACAGGAGGGAGATAAAAATTCTGCACCAGCTCAGCAGATAGCAAAAGGATGATACTCCGACTTCTGCTGAATAAGTCCAGCTCCTGGTGGGAGATGGCAGACCCGCCTTCCAGCTGGTAGCTCAGAATCCGATGCTTTCGAACATGCCGAGTAAAGAGGAAGAGGTTCTGGAGGTACTGACACCATTCAGTGGCGTCACTTGCATACACAATGAGCACATCATATCCTCCAGGGGTTTCTGTACGGGTGCAAGATGATCACAGGGAGGAGGATTAAATTCAAAGCAAGAACTGGCCCACAGCTTTACAGCAAAAACCCCACAGGGCTGTCCCTATAATTCACGTCAGAAGCTCCAAAGCACTTCAAAAGAATGGTAGATATATCCAAAGTGAGGTGTTCACAGCCACAGAGCAGTTCTAAGGGAGATTGAATTCCTCTTGCACTTACCCCACTAAAATTTAAGTAGTTTTTTCATTCTCAGAAACCTTTCTATGAAGAAGGGGATTTCCTATGTAGTTTCAATTGAAACAAACCACATGTGGAGATCTACAGATTTAAAACATGTTGATAGGAAAAAAACCCACATAAAAACCTGACCTCCAAAACAAACTAGCTTTAAAAGGAGAGCTCACCTTTGTACATGAAGTTAAATAATTTTCACCAATTATAGGGTTTCTGCAACACAACTGCAGACCATTACATGCTTAAGCAGAGCATACACTAAACATAGCACATGTAAAACAAGAAAGGCCTTTATTTAAACAAGGTCCCACAACACTTACAGGAAGTCACTATGTCTTCCATGGTGTTAGACATTTGCTTTCACTGCAGCAGAAAGTAAACTGCCTGCTAAATATGCCTGCAACTGGAGAGTACACCAGCCCCAGTACTCACAGCACAACAATTCTGTCATTCAGGCTTCAGACAGTTTGCAAGCCGTGTTAAGGGTCCTTCTCCCAGCACTGTCGTCCAAAGGTTTCACCACTATTTTGGCACAACAAAGCCTCTCTCTTCAGAGGAAAAGAACTAATACAATAGCAGTGGCCATAACACAGCCCAAAATACGCTCAAAGTTGACTTACTCTGTAATTCTCTAGAGACAGCTCCTACCTACACACCTGTATTTCTGGGCTTTGAAATGAAAACACTCTTAAAACTGTTTCCAGCTTGCTAAGAAGATCACATGCAAATTGAACCAGTATCACATGATGCAATGGTCTCCCACCAATCTCAAGAAAACTTGTAAGTCTAAATTTAATCTTCATTAACCTGTGAAGAAGTTTACCCAAATTTGAGGATTACAGCTCTGGTCCCATGGTAAATTTCATTGCTGTGCATTACAGATCTTATTAGTAAATTGTAGTCTTCTAACTCCAGTTTGACTCTTCAAAAGTGTCAACACTGCAGCCCATCTCCATCCAGAAGCAAGCAAACAAAAGCAGATTTTTCTAATTAAAGTAGAAGGCAAATGCCTACAATTTGGCAAGCCAAAAAGAGCATCTGAATAGAGTGAATTTACCAGAATTGAAGGTGACAGTTTTGCAGTCATCTCATTAAAATTCAACAGCCTCCAAAGACTCCATTCTCTCACCCTCCCCAGACCTTCATTAAGAAATGAAGGCTGAAATGATGTCTGGGCTACGGTACCCCAGCTCTAAACCATATAATTACCAACTTTAAACTGTAGCTGAGCGGAAGTTGTAGAGTTGAGAAATGCGGAGATGAGCTCTGTACTCACCAATAGCATTATAGTTACCTGCAGAAATGAAGTCTCTACCAGTGAAAGGATGATGTCCTAGCCATAGAGAACAGAGACACTGCAGTTCAGCAGCATTCACTAGGATCGCTGCATGTTTCTGTGTGAATACAGCTCCTGAACCCCAGATGGAGGCTGCAGGTAGGAAACCATAGAAGACAGCATTCTCCATGGAGGGGATCCAGCAAACTCATAAAGCAGACAAACGGACCCAAAGCCTTGGGACAAGCTAAGAGTGGAGAACTGCTGTGAAAAAAGATGTCTTTCACACCAGTGAAAGAACACCACTATCACCAAAATATTGCTTCTGGGCGAACACCACCTGACAAAGACGACAGAATCACATGAGCAGAAACAGGAAAACCATGCAGAATTCAGGAGGTCAGTTGTTTTATTCTAGAAAGGGAGGAGTACCAGAGACTTCTGCTTCCAGTACCACGTGTTGACTTGCAGGCAACACAGTGGGAAAGGGCAGCACAACTGTCTGCCAAGAACAGAGCCCATGCAGGCAGCACAGCCAGCCGAGCCCAAGCTCATCAGATCAGAGACACTGCAACGACTCTCTGAGGTGTGCCCAGGGCTCCTAAAGTCCTACCTTGGCACTCTCTGGGAGAAGTCCCACCTCTGGACTCTGGGAAAAGTGGCAGCGGCTTCCAGGCATTTTAATGTTCTGTAAAACGGAACACCTAATCCTACCATGCTTTTTTAAAAAGAGCACAGCTTCCGTAACTAAACCTGTTAGCAAACAGGCCCTTCTCCTGTCTTTCAATGAAAGGAAGCAGCTGTGCTTGGAAAGAACAGAGGGTGGGGGAGCTAGTGATTTTAAACGTGCATTGCCTGTAGGGGCACCAAGTATCCAAGAAGCCTCCCTTCTCCCATACGTAGCTGAAACCCACAAACTTGACAGACTCTCTGCAAGTTCCGTCAGCATTTATATAACCAGGGACAACGTCACCCAGAGCAGTGTAGCCTCTGCATCCAGTAGGAGGGAACTTCACCTAGTGTTTAGGAAAGGTACTGATTCCCTAGATAGCACTGCTCTACCAGCACGGCATTTCCCTACCAGCTCTCCTCAGGCCCTCTTACCTCAACTCCTGTAGCATTTTACACTTCTATAATAAACTGAGGAACAACGCGTTTAAAAGGAGAACTGAGAAATAAAGTTACTGACTCCACTTTTAGAGCTAAGGAAACTCTATGTTCATAAGCAAAAAAATACTGGAAGTGGGTCCTGAAGGGCTAAATATGCTTAAGTCAGCAACGGGACTGTCCCAAAGAAAATTAAAATCTAGAGATAGTTTCAATTGCAACATCAGCTTTTAAAAGGTGGATGACACAAGATTCTCTTTCCTGGATCATGCTATTATTTTTCCAACCAAATACCTCCCTTTGCAGCACCAACTACTGTCCAGTCCTCAGAGAAAAGGGTAATAAATGGAGAATACAGAAAGTTTCGGGGTGTTTTTCCCACAACTCTTCACACATCAGTTACAGAAAAACTCACAGAGCACACTTTAAAGTACAATGTATACTCTGCCTATTGTGCACATATAAGGAAATCCCTAGGTGAACACTACGCATTTTATTTCTATAAACTCTGACCTTAGATGGATGCCATGACAATGCATTTGACAGGCTGGTTTCGGAAAAACAAACACAAGGAATCCTTCAGTTCAAGTACAAAAGATATGAACAGTATAAGCAATAGCAAGATAAAGAAATATTTGTGCCAGCCAACCATTCCAAAAACCTTTCACACTCTCAAGTGTAATCTAGTTAAAATTTTAACAGTACCTCATTTTTGCATTCCTGAACTTAGGGTATGAAAGTCACTTTTGCCTCCGTTTACAGTATGTCAGCACTATAAATATTTCAGGTCATGTTTAGCTATTTATTTCATAGAAATACATCCAGGTGCGGTTCTGTTGCAGTTTGCAATGACAAACCATAACCTTTGGACTCCTTTCCAGCTGTAACTGTTTCATCAGTGCTTAGTTGCACACTCCATTATACAGCAATGATAAAAGACTGATGAGTTTACAAACTAGTAGTGTAGAAATACCTAAGACCTCTAATTGAGGTGGAAGGCCCACAGACTAAATAGCATGGAGACAGAACATGATACAAAGCTTTTCCCAGCTTATAAACTGCATGCAGAATGAAAGTGGATGAAGCAATTCCATCAGGCCCATGGCAAGAGAATAAAAGTATCCTATAGTGATACAGTATACCATGCCTTCATAGTCCCTCTCTGAGAAGTGAACAAATCAGGCTCAATAGTGAGGTGACACTCTGAATTCAGAGCAAACATGGGATAGTAGTTTATGGCCATACTGTAAGGTTCTGATTACCACTGAAACAGGGAAAGAATACTGCAGGAAGCTGGTATATCAGCTCTGGGCAAGACTACATCTTGCCCACTTAACACTTCCCAAACTCGAATCAGATGTTATCAACTATTATTACCTATTATTTAATTCTACAAGCCAATTGGTTAGACTTTTTTCAATTTACAGATCATAAATAATTTTCCATTGTTCTTGTGGGTCCCATAAAGAAAATTCAGGACCTCTACTAACACACAGCTTTCCTGTGACATCTTTTACATCCCTAAGTAGACCATGACTTCTCATTGTCCACAAACTGGGTAAAAAGCTGACTGACAAATCCTGTACTCCAACTCAGATGATCATATGCAGTAGCAAGCAGATCTATTTTCATCTGCTAGATCAAATCCACCTCAAATTCTGACTAAATGAAAAAGTGATACATAGCCTGTTCTCAGTGTACTTTGGAATTTGTGTGTATGGAGGACACACAAATATGGCAATCCAAAACACCAATCCTTCATAGAGGGGGATCCACTTCCGATGAAAGACAATTGCTTATGATATAAATTAAACCCAACTCAAGGTGTCTTAATAATCAAATTCTTAAAAAAAAAAAAAAGAGTGCTTCTAAGAGGTGTTAGAAGCTGCTGGTGGGCCATTAACAGAAGTCCTCAGCACTTTTCATATTTCAGTGTCTGAAGTGTGTGTATTTAAGTGATGTATGAGGAAATGAATGCATTCTTTGCTCAGCTGGAATGCATAACAAAGTAACAGTGATCACATGCAATTAACTGTTAACATCCTAGTGAGACCTCTCACTGACTGGAATAGAAAACCTTTGCTATATTTAAAAGTGCTGCAGACAAGAAAGAGGAAATAGCAGAATCAAAGTAGTTAAGTTCTGTGAACCAAACTTCAGTGATAGGAACATTAGATTTGCATTATGATATGTGAACCTAAAGTTGTTGTACTTTTATGAGTTTCTGTGAAATCACCTTCTGTTTATAAGGAGAAAAGTAGTTTTGTCCACGAGTCCCCTGAGGCCTCCATTTATCTTATTTTTACATCACAAGGAGATACGCTCGGATACACTAATGTTGCTTCACAGCCTGAGAACGGCACGTTTTTCCTTTTTTAGATAAAACACGTATACTTCCCTGCAGGGAGGGGAACTTGCAAATTGGGCACTAGCAAGACTTACACAATATGAGCTAAAACCCTCTCCCCCTGGAGTCCGCAGTTCTATTCTAACCACCCTACACATACGGTATCTGTAAGATTTTCATTAATGGCAACCTAGCTCAGTTTGATTTGTGATCCCCTGCCACTGTGGCAAGGGGCATCAAGTCATAGCCAAAAAGGAAGTATGCAAATACAGGGGGATAAAGCAGTATTTATCAAGAACCGACTTCCCTACAAAACATCACAGAATAACATATAGGTGGTAAAGGCTGAGCAGGGACATATTCCTCCACAGAATACCCTGCCTCAGAGCTAGCTGAGCTGCCAACCCTAACTAAGCACGCTAAACACACGGGAGAGAGCTCAAGCCAGGTGAAGCAAGAAAAGTCAGAAAGCTCAGCAACCTGGCTGCAAACAGAGGAGCCAGCGCTGCTCTGAAGAGCCCCGGGGCTCCCCTCACCTCGGGGAAGGGACCCTCCTTCTCCTTTCCCCACCAGCGGCGCGCCAGTGGCGAGCAGAGCGGCACAGCAGCACCGGCCTGCAGGCGGGAGCGGGCAGCGAGCCGCGCTCCGCTCCCTTCCCGCTTACCGGCGCCAACGCGCGGAACAGC